TTCTGCAAGGGGATTTCCAAGTTCCCACAGATGGGCCCTGGGTCCCCACTCCGCACTCCCTCTCAGTCACAATGCTATGATTTTTCTTTTGGTCTTTGATACCTGATACCTGATACCTGATCCCTTCAACGCCTTGTGATCTCACAGGCTCATGTGCTTCTTCCATGTGGGCCTTGCTGTTTCTCCGTTAGGTGAGCATGGCATTCCATCATACTCAAATGGAAAGCACTCGTGAAGGACAACAAATAGACCCTGAACTATTCATATGTTTTTATGTGTTGTTCTTGTAGCTATTGTTTTACTTTCTATTGTTGCTTCTTTGTACTCAGTCTTGTAGCTATTGTTTTATTTTCTATTGTTGCTTCTATGTACCATTCTACCTGGAAGGGATAGGTGGGACAAACAAGCCCGAAGAAAGAACACAGGCATGACAGTTCCGGGGGGACATGAGAGAAGGGGAGGCGTGGTTAAGGAAGTGGCTGTTAACAAACCCAGGGACAAGGGAACAACAAGTGATCCAAAATCAGTGGCAAGGAGGGTGTAAGAGGTCTGGCAGGGCTGGATCAAGGGCAATGTAACTGAGAGGATTTTTTTTTTTAAAGGCTACATCACTAAGGAGGCTGTGAACCTGATTAACAGTTTGGCCTCTATGCCTACACTTTCATCCAGGCATCAGTTGACATAATGTCTAAGCAGCACAGGTATAATCTTTTATCATTGGATGATGATACACATGACAAGATAGCCAGGTTTACAGGTTTGAATCCTCTTTCCATGTGTTCTTTGCTTTGGGGGCTAACTGATGGTCACAGATCTCATGTCTACTCTTGCTCCTGTGGGTACCAGAGGATGACAAATGCTGAATGCTTTAAGGCAAGGGAGTTGGAATAAAACACTTTATTCTTACAATGAGAGGATGTGTGAAATTTAAAGTGGCATAGGATAGTGTCCACAATTTCTCTGTCAGTTTATTGTATTGTGGTGCCTTTATATTTCTATGATACTGGAGCTATGTCACTGGTATTTCAAATGCCAGAAGGGTCATTCTTTCTGGGCAAGTATCAGTGGAGATTCCAGAATAACAGCAAACAATGAAAAAGAACTTGCCTCCTTGTCTCTGGACTTCAGAGGAAGAAACCTCTTAATATCTTATACAGAGTTTGAAAGAGATATTGTGGTAG